GAGGTGGTTAAAGTTGAAAATGTTTGGCTCTTTAAGAAGTGAGAATTGTATTCTTTTTAGGATGGATGGTGTACTACTGTATACTACTAGTTAACCACGTTCGAAACAGGCGAGATTCCATATGAACTGCCCATCAGCCGCTGAATTATGAGTATGCATATCTTTGAGCAGTTCAAAGTGCTCATACATTTGCATACGAATATACAGTACTATCTTAAAGTATTCTACACTACCCATCAACTTCCAATCATCAATGCTGGTGTTTAGTTAGCTAATGTTGCATAAATAGGCATAATGCTCGACCACGACACACCGTCTACCATACAAACATGCATGCTCCTATGACTACGACTACGAGCATCACTGAACCCAAAAGGAGTCGATCGAAGAAGACCAAAGTTTGATAGAGAGAGCAGAAGTGCAGAAGCAGAAGGATAGGGCATGCAGGCCGAAAGGAAAAGATTCTAGAAAAGCATTCTACGCATGACTATCTTTCTTGTACACCGGCTTTTCTTTGACCTGACCGCATGCAGGGCGTAAAGGCGAAAGCGACCTATCAGTGCTGTTACGAACGGCCACGATTTGTTGCCTCGACAGGCTGCTGGCTGCTGCAGGCCAGATGGACAGGCACGTGCAATACAGTTGAGCTGGTGGTTTTTATTCCCTCCTCGCGTTCATCAACATTTGAGCCACACCACACGTATAAAAATCTTTCATGCACAGGGACATGAAAAATCATAAAACCCCTTCCAATCCATTCGCCGCTCTTTCTCCTGGTGTGCTCTACACATCGCCATCTGAACGTGTCCTCTTATTAGCCTTAAGCTTAACGACTCGCTTCTTCGATCCTTGTGGTCCTGAATAAAGAGTCTTAGCATCACTATGGTCGTCGACATAGGGAAAATGGTCAAATACGTGTCGAAGACCGGGATTAAAAAATCACAAAAATCATACAAGCTTTTGATATATTATATGCAACTAGACCATTTGATGATTCTCTCCAATGCTTATGCGTGAGATACTCTGATACCGGCAAAATCTGTGTAAGTGGTTTCTCTTTGAGAAGTTGGTCACATGCAGAAAACCACCGCAACTCTGGCATTATAGTGGTGGTTACATAGTATATACGGTTCAAAAGGTTTGAGGTGCTGATGGATGTTGGTATGATGATGAGGCCGGCTAATGACTACTTGAGGTAGAAGTGGTGCCAATGACATGAGCAGGATTATGATAAATCGATAACGATTTAAGGTAAAAAATGTAACTATGAATTTACAAGAGAAGATACAAGATAATAAAAGATTTAAATTCTTAAGAGGTCCAAGGAGCTGAACAATTTGTAAAATACTTAGATAGTAGTTTTATCAAGGAATGAAGCTTACCAAGAGAAAGCTAAGCCATGTTGATTTAACCTCAGTACAAAATTGCATGACCACGGGACAGAAGTGCAGAAAAAAGAAGAGAACACGAAGATGACGATAGTCAAAGAAACTATCGATAATAGCTATATAGAGTTCATGCAGATAAATGTAGTAGAGATAAATAGAGAGAAGAAAATTACAATCAAAGAGACAAAGAAAACTATTTACAAAAAATATTTCAAGGTAAAAAAACAAAAATTAAGAAAAACCTAGGTTCATTTTTTACCCATGACTGGTATTTTATGTATCACGGCAATAGATTATAAGGGTACCACATGTGACAAAGATTTATACTGGTTCAAATAAGGGGACCCTATGTCATGTCAGGTGTGGATGATGATTTTAATTGCTTGTGATCTGTGCACTCGGGGCTGGTTGTGACTTGCCAGTAGGGGATCACAACAATTCGTCTATAGGTGGAGCTATCTAGAGGATGAGCTCGATCTATGTGGTCTCTGATGGGATGACCGATCAGCAGGGGCTCTCTACCCTACACTCTTCCTTATATAATTCGGGAGTAGGGTTACAAATAGAGTCATAATCGGTCTACCAGTATATTTCCTAGTCTGTTAAAAAAAATCTAATAGGATAGAGTTAGTTTCTAAGTACACCTTGCTATGTCTTGTCCTCTAAGTAATCAAGATACCCCATTCGGTTTAGGCCTTCTATTATGTGGGCTCGGCCCTAAGGATGGCAATGGGGCGGGTTCGAATCGAGTGGAGACTCCATGCACCCAAAACTAAAACCCAAAGTCAAAACTTGAATTCGTCCTGAACACCGATTCGGATGGAAATCCATCCCTAAAACCAAACCCGTGGATCCCCGAAACCCGATGGATCCTTCCAAACTCGGAAATTTTACAACAAACCGGCAACAAAGACAGCAATACATAACATAAAAGTACTATTGTACTAACAGCTACATAACATAAAAATTAGGAATCAAAATCTATTCTGTACAACGGAGAGAGTAACGACTAGCCTGGAATGCCCTGAAATTAAAGGCATGCATGTACAACGGTACAACCCACCTTTTGCTAATACAGTTTTCCACGTATTAACACTTGGGCAACAGTCGATATATATATGCCGATAATGGATCATCACGTTTAACTCAAAAGAGTAGGCAATCGAGCTGTCTAAAATGAGAACGAGGAGCAGACATGTCGCATCGTCCTACATATGTAAGCACGCGCACTCCAAGAACGGGACGAGATCGAAGCTGCCAATGTTGGACGCGCTAGCTGTTCTTGCCGAGAGCTTCTTGGACATGCATGCGTGCGTGCTCTACCACACCACATGCACTGCAAGATAGATCGAACAGAATCAGGCCGGCCGGCCGGAGACACGCGCTTCTTTACTTCTTGGGGTTGGGGGATAGAAATAAAGATTTGCGCACGATCAGTCTAGTCAACTATTTCGAGCGACATGCGAGGGTCCAAGCAAGGGTGTGCATCTGCATGGCAATTGTACGCGTGCACCGGAACAACACACGACGACATCAATGGCGACCAACATTGGCGGGGCTCGGATTCAAAACGGGGTGTCCCCGACCCCATGCACTCGTGTCGGAGATACAAATGTTGAAGATACAAATGTATCTGCATGGCAATTATACACTCGTGCAGCAGCACTATGGGCGGATAGGAAAAGGTTTCTTTTTTCTTTTTTTACTCGTGTCGGCCAGGAATAAAGATCACATGCTACACGTAGTATGTTCATAGCCATAGCTGCGTATTAGTATCACTAATACAGAGACGGGCTTTACTCCCGGTGGGGAACCACCTCTAGTCCCGGTTCCCCACCCGGGAGTAAGCATCCGGGACTAAAGGGGGTCCTTTAGTCCCGGTCAGAACTGGGACTAAAGGGGTCCTTTAGTCCCGGTGAAATAACACCAACCGGGACTAAAGGTCCTCCCAAATTTAAAAAAATAATATCTCCCACCGCTGCGTCCCGTGAGATTCGAACCCAAGACCTCATGCATTGCCTCGCGCGTAGCTTACCACCCCACCTACACAACACATCTGACAATAGATGGGATGCTTCCCTTTTGAACTAACCCATCGGGGGACCTTTAGCCCCGGTTGGTGGCACCAACCGGGACTAAAGGGTCCTTTAGTCCGGGTTGGTGTTACCAACCGGGACTAAAGGGTCTACCTTTAGTCCCGGTTGGTAACACCAACCGGGACTAAAGGTTGATGACTTTTAGTCCCGGTTGGTGGCTCCAACCGGGAGTAAAGGTCCACCTTTAGTCCCGGTTGGTGTCTCCAACCGAGACTAAAGGTCCCCTGCCACTGTGCCGAGCGCAGTAGCCGTTGGGCATGGACCTTTAGTCCCGGTTGGAGACACCAACCGGGACTAAAGGTCTCTCTAGTCCCGGGCGCAAAAAATACCGGGACTAAAGCCCATTTTAGCCTCGGATGAAAGGTCTGTTTTCTACTAGTGTATGTATCGTGCATGCACACTGCATGTAGTCCAGATTGATTGGCCAACGCACCTGTCTCTCGTGCCGCCCTGCATGAATTGTACGCGCGTCGTACATTGTACATGCGCTTGGATTAGTGCATGTTCTCTGTATATATACTTGCAATACGGCAGTAATGGTTTTTTTTTTTTAGGATGGGTGTGATGGACTGATGGCCACGGGAGGAAACAAAGATGCTCTGAGGAACAGGTGCAGTAAATGTTTTTTTCCAGTGCAGCAGCGAGTCGTGCAGCAGGAGACAAAAGTATGTACCATGGCAGATCCAACATATCCCCTTCTCGTGCAAGCAATGGAGCTGGGAGCCAGCACTTGTTCTTCAGATTCTCTCTACACAGCCAGACGTACACTGTCTGCCCAGAGAGAGAGAGAGAGAGAGAGAGCGCCCAGCATCAGCAGCACTTGTGGTCACATCAGTGCACTTCCTAGGCCTAACTCACAGCAGATATGCACATCCTTGCTTGGACCCTCTCCAGCACTTCCCCAGCTTTCTATCACGTCTTGAAGGACTTGTCTTTATATATGCTCTTTTGATTCTAGTACTCTATATCCTTTCCTCCGAGAGTACATAGAATATAATGCATGTTCTATTAGATAACAGTAAACATTGAAGAAACTAACGAATGAGCACAATCCATCCCGTCAGCTTCCTAAAATAGCAGACAATGTTTACAGCAAAATCGCAATGATCTAACACATCAATTAGAGTAAATAAAACGAAGAAATTACTTACTAAAAAAGAGCGGGATGTAGAAACAAAAATAGCCCCCATAACACAAAAACGAAGAAGAAGAAGAAGAAGAAGAAGAAGAAGAAGAAGAAGAAGAAGAAGAAGAAGAAGAAGAAGAAGAAGAAGAAATGATTTCTAGTGCGATTTTTGCTCGTATTTATTATAACACATCAACTAGAATAAATAAATAAATCTAAAGAAGAAATTACTAAAAGAGGGGGACACAGAAACAAAAGTAGCCCTCATCTTATCCTTTTCTAGCACCTCTTTCCATCTTAATTAATAATGCAATGGTTATTGTCCTAGAGATCGAATGTGTTGCGGGCATATATCATATATGCATGCTTGCGTTTGCCGATAGATGCAAGCTAAACAATGTCACCAACCACTCTCTCGTCTTGCTCAAATGAACTCCCTGCAGAAGTAGCAACAACATTAGTGGCACCCCAATCTAGCATGTTGAATAATGGATCGGCGGCCAAGCTCTTGTTGGGCATTATTCCCTTCTCCTTTCTAGGATCACCACCAGGGAAGATGAGGCTCATGGGATCCGACTCCAGCTCGGCGAGGTCAGCGAAGAAGTCATCGGTGTGGTGGCCACCGCCGGCCTCCGGTATCATCGGCCTGTAGTAGCTCTGGCTGAACATCTGCTGCATGAGATCACCGTGATCCAGCAAGACAGAAGCGTCATGGTCTATCCCTTTCTCCATTTCCGACCCCACCATCGCCTCCTCTTTCACAGCCATCGTCGCCGGAGGAGTGCTGTTGCTGGTGGTGCTCATGGTCGCTGTGGTGGTGGTGCTGGTGGCTGCGGTCGCGGTGGTGGCACAGCTAGTAGGGACTGCCGCCGACGCCTGATGCTCCGGTTCGGCTTTAAGGTTTGGCTTCTGCAGGCTGTGCGAGGGGTTGTTCTTGCTGTTCTTGGCGTGGTGAGAGCGTGTTGAGCCGGCGAGCGCGCTCCGCTGAGTCGGCCAAGGATGGTTGTGCTCCGAGTTGTAGGTGATGACGAGCAGGCTTGGGTCAGTCCGGCTGCGCTCCACCTGCTTCCGCGCCGGGCATCCTTTAGAGCTGCTGCATCTGTAGTACCCTCTGGACAGTGTACATTTTTTCAGAACTCAACCAGTAGTGCATTTTTTTTATTTGCATGAAGGTAATTGTTAGAGCACAGCATAACTGCTGCTTTTTAAACTTATTATGTCACAAGAAATTAGAGCTTTGTACCATATATATATGGACAAATAGTTTGCCAAGATTTTCTTGTCAAATTACATTTTTTTAACTTATGTCGGCAGCATAAATTTTTTAGAAGATATATAAACAGCTAGAGCAACCTCAAAACGTTTTTGCAGAGTTATTGACGTATTTTGCTTGGGTAGACCATATTTCTGACTATAACAAATATATTTTGACAGGATGTCGCGATGATATTTATTTGCATCTCTGAGACTTTCTATGCATGTAAAAGTCACAAAGTAAGAAAACTACTTAAGAATCGTCATGAAGTGAGAACCATATATAATGCTCCAACACTAGATCAACCAAAAATATAATAGACTAACAATCTTTTTATAGAAAATTTGAATTGATTTGTTGGTGAGATGTGCCTGACAATGAAAAGTATTATCATTGAATAAGAAAGGTTTTGTGCAAAATCAACATAGTTTTAAGTTCTGTGGTTACATACTTTTACACATGGAAAAGTTTGCACACAAAATGTGATACAATTGTTAATTGTTCTTCTTTTTGAACGACGGGCACGAGATTGTGCGCCATTTCTATTAACATAGAAGGAAAATACAAGTAGGCGGCCTTGGGAGGCCACCTTGTATGGACCAAATCGAAATGCAAAACAATTGTCAATTGTGCACGAAGCAAATTTAGGAGCTCGATTCATTTAACTTTTCTTGGCTTATTTATGCGACTTCACACATTTTTCTTATGCACCGATTTATCTGTTTTTAACATCTAGTGATGTTTTTGTGTGGCGACATGATATAAGAAATATCCCTATTGAATCAACGACTCAATATTTTTTTTGAAGTGTATAGCTGTGGACATTGAAAATTCCATGATATGGTTCAAAGGAGGACAAGGTAATAAATACAGCTCTGAGTTCTTGAACTTCACAATCGTTATTTAGAAATTCCATGATAGAGTTCAGTTAAATGTTGCACTTTCTTGCCAATTGCAATTTATATAGTACAGCTGCTAGCTGCTACCTTATCATGTGCTAGCTTCTATACAACTAACCAGCAAGTAGTAGAATACTAGGAAAAAATAGGAATCCGTGTCTTCTCCTCTTGATTGAGCAATATATATATATAATGTTCCTATTATTATGATTACATGACCACACCATAATTATTTATGCACATATATAGTAGGAAAAAATAGGAATCCGCAGGAGGAAGGACCACTGGGGAGGGTGATCCTTTGATAGGCTTCTGTCCATACATGAACTAGAAGAGAGGTCAGTAGTCGCAATACCTTGGGTAGGGTGATCCTTTGATAGGCTTCTGTCCATACTTCCTCCAAGCCCAGAGATCGGAAGGAACAACCTCCCCAGTGGTCCTTCCTCCTGCGGATGCTGCAGGTGCTGGGATGCAGACCACCTTCCTTGCCTGGTTCTTCCTGCATATCAAACACAAATTAATTAAAGCACCAATAAGCAACTAGTGCCAGAGATCATATCAGAGATGATTAATATCAATTTAATTTTTGAACAATCACATTGTTATATGCGTGAATGATCATCTAAAAAAATGCATCTCTTGTGAAAAATGATAAAACTAGGGTTTGCAAGGAAGCAGGTTGAGCTCAAGAAAATAGGCCTAGTTGCTCTGGCACAATACTAATAAATAATAATTAACTTAACTGAAATTCTAGTAGCTATAGCTAGTGTATTTGTTTTTTTTTCAACCAAGTAGATGCTAGTTGTATTTCTTTACTCAGAAGATTTTCACCAACAGCTAGCTACCATTTTTTGTGTATCTAGATTCTAGAACATTAATTTGATCTTGCTATTTTTAATTCGTTAGAACCAAAAATTGGCTGTCGATGTTTTACTGTCTTTAGCTTTCTTGGAAGATGCAGAATGACGAAAAGAGCAGGTGGGGAGCAGGAAAAGCGATTAGCACCGCTTTCCCTGAACTACAAATCTCGAGCTGAAAATCGATGCAAAATTCAGACACGCCATGGAAAAGGAAATCAAGGAAGGGCTTGCTTCATGAATGACAATGATCAAGAACTGCTTAGATCTGGCAGCGATCGCGCGTGGTGCCGAACCTGCGCTTGATCCCGCCGCCGTGCGGCGACGGCATCTGCATCCCGGCGATGGCGTCGAACGCACAGGCCGGCCCAACCGCCAGCCCGGGCATCATCGTCGGCACGCCGATCTTCACGGTGTCGCCGCCCATCATCGTCACCGGCGGGTACGGCCGTATCTCACTGGGCGACAGCGCCGGCATCTGCGCCCCCCTCTCCACCACTACTCCGCCTCCGCTATCCACCAGTACGCCTCCTCCGCCTCTCCTGGCGCCGCCACCGACAGCAGCAGGCGCCTCGAAGTCGAAGAAGTCGGCAGGGGCGCCGGGGCCGCCGCCGGAGGAGGAGGAGGCGTGAAAGTCGCTGGCGAACGGGTCCGGGAGGCCGGCGAAGGCGTCCACGAAGCCGTCGCCGCTCGGCCCGGCGCCGCCATCCGACGACGACGGCTGGGGTGGCGGGAAGAGGCCGGCTCCAGCTGGCTCGGCCGGGAGCTGCCACCCCGTGGCCGTGGAGGAGAGCTCCGCGATAGCTGCCTTATGCATCGCGCCGCCGGCTCGGACGACGTCCGTGAGGTCTCCGGCCTGGTGGTGCTGGTCGCCCTCCATCCTTTGCAGGAAGTAGTCACACATGGCTAGCTTAGCTAGCTAGCTCTAGCTGCTAGTCTATCTCGGTCTCACCAAGCCTTTGTAACAGGAGAGTAAGCTCTTTCGTTGTTGGCAATTCGCAAGAACCGAAGGAAGCAAACTAATTTAGGGTTATATAGAAGAAGAAAGACGAGGGTTGAGAGAAGTTGCTAGCTAGCTTGCAAGGGTTTCTGAAGCTCGGCTGAATTCGCTCGATCCAAGCTTGTTTGTTTGTGTGTGAGAGAAAGGGCGAGGGAAGCGGATGATATGAGCGGTGGGCTAGGCTAGCTGTGCAATCAAACTGTCTTTTCTTTACTAGGACACGAGAGAAAAGGACAGAAGAGAGGGAGAGAGAACGGCCGGGGGAGGGGCAGGCATGGCAGGCAGCCAGGCACAGTAAGGGCTGGCTCAGCTCGGAGCGGACAAAACAGTGGCAGCGAGGGAGGAGAGAGGGAACTGGGAGTGGTAGTGCTCTATTTCCTGATGTGAAAGTATCCGTGGTCGCTGACTTCCGCCCGGTTCAGCCGATGGTTAAGTCGAATAATGCTGTTTTGGTATTAGAAAAAAAAAATACTGTACTATAGTACGGTCGTTAAGTCGAATAATGCTGTTTTGGTATTAGAAAAAAAATACTGTACTATAGTACGGTCGATAAGTCGAATAATACTGTTTTGGTATGAGAAAAAAATACTATACCATAGCTGATAAGCAGTTCAAGCAAACAGGATGTTCATTTCCCGGACTGCTAGTCTTCTCGATGCGCGGAACGGGACACATACAGCACGGATCCGAGCCAACAGAAGGGACACATAGGTGGTGTTTAAATCCATTGAGTAAAGTTTAGAGATGTCACATTAGATGTCACGTCAAGGTATCACACGAGAGTGTTTGGATAGTAATAATAAAATAAATTATAGAAGCCCTCGGTAATCCGCGAGATGAATTTATTAAACCTAATTAATCGATCGTTAGCTCGTGACGTTGCCGCGCGCGCGGTGTAAAAATTTGGGAGGGTGGCGGATCAGTCCGGGCTCAGGAGGTCGTGGACGCTTGCCCTTGTCGTGCCGGCCGCTGCCACCACGGCAGAGCGAGCGGCCCGCTGCCGCGACAGCAAGGAAGTCCAAGAGCGCAAGCCATATGGTATGGCGACGCGTTACATGTGTTCGCACGCATTAGCTACGCAGTACCTGACTACCTGCTAGCAGTCCGTGTGCCTGTACGTCGGTACCGTGCAGGATCTCTAATTTAACCCCAATCGTCGGCGGCTCACAGTAATAATCACGCTTTGCTTATATATGCTCAGTAGTAATGGCAGTGATGAATCTTTAAGGATTTGATCGAGCTAGTGATCGATCGAGACCATGGACGATGCTTCTTGATGAATGGCTTGAAAGCCGCTGCTTCCCGTGTTCAAACACTTCAACCAGCGCTGTTTCTCTGGTTCACAGAGAACTAGTATAATGCGCGCGGACGCCATGTTTGCAAATGATAATGTGCTTAATTAGCATCGATAATAAAACAATTAGGCTCGATGTTATCTCTTTCCCCCGGACCCCGGTACTATTCAACACCGGCGGAGCTATATGCAAGCCAAAGAGGGCATGGCCCCTCCTTGCTCACCGAAAACTCCATTAAGTAGCTATTAAACTGGTGACTAAAATCAATAAATATGCATATTAAGTAAGAAATTAGTGCTGGTAGCCCCTTCTTGTTTTCCCGTCAAGCTCCGCCACTGCTATTCAATGCGGATCAGCTGCTCTGCCGGCTTCGTCTTCCCCACGTCAGACCTGCTGCACCTCTCGGGTCTCGGCTCCAGTGCATGCCCACTCATAAAAAATACCACCACCGAACTGCCGATCGAAGGCGATGCGCTTGCATGCCCACTGCCCACTCATAAAAAGCGCATGCAGCTTGTTCGAGCAGCGCTCAATGCTGGCGCCCTATATGCAGTCCATGGTCCACACCTCTCCTGGACTCCTGGCATGCGGTCTTGCGATTTCTACATTGAAGTACACACATACATGCATGGTATGAACGGTGTCAGTCTCCAGAACTCCAGATTAGCTTCGCCAGGACTCTTCAGCCTGCCTCGGCGTTCGATTTTAACCGACGGTTCGGTTCGGTTTTCCAAAATTTCGGTTTCTAGAAAATGACTCCGATCGGTTTGCTAAAATTTCAAAAACGACCAATTTCGGTTCGGTTTTTTATTTCGATTTTTTCGGTTAAAACCGAATAAACCGATGCAAGAAAACAACAGACAGGATTTAGAACTCACAACAGTTCATTCTTGACAGGATTTAGAACAACAGACATTATTTGAAGACTCAAGACTGTTACAAACTTAACAATTCAATGCTCAAATCAAATATTATAAATTTGCAGTTCATTCTTGATAATAAACCACAGTACTCCATCAGTTTTGATAAACAACAGGAAAAAAAAATAGGTTCCAGACTTCCAGCCAGCAGGCATCAACAACAGCAAGAGAACAATGCTCCATGGCGCCACCAGGATGTGTCCAGCCTCTCCAGCAAGCAGCGCCAGTATGTAGACAATAAGCCCAGCGCGAATGTGCCATGGGAGCATTCTGCGACGGATTGTTGGCGAAGCACCATGGAAGAAGAAAGTTGTAACACCAAGTAGCCACTGAAATATGAAATCAATGCATTAAGGTTCAAGTTTATTCTGAACTGGTCCTTGTATATAAAAATAAACGTCTTAAAAATAATAATAGCAGCAAAATCAATTAATGTCCTATACCAAACAAAAAACACCACCCAATGTGAATGAGGTCAGGACACTGCATGCTTACAAAGCTCAGCTGAAAGGAAAGGAGAAGTTCAATTTATAAATGTTTGGTTTGCAGCCTACATTGCCATGCTAAAAGTTAGGCTGGCCATATATATATTTCATTCTCATTTAATATTTCCATTGCAAAGTTTGAACAAATTATTAAACAAATACTCATATAGCACTATAGCCGTGCAAGGCTTGCACCTAGTGGAAAAGCACTATTTTCATGAATAAATCAATATGTCAATCATACACATGTCAAAAGGTTTTCTATGATCCTCAAAAGGGTTTGTGTGCATCACCTGTAATCCAGGCGTCCAGCTAACCAACTTACCATTATCAAGATGCGGTAGCAGTAGTGCTATCCTTAGAAATGGCCAGGGCACCAATTTCTACAATAAGTGATTATGTTTTAGTTAGTACTCAGTGTAGTCATGTTACTGCAATAAGCTATCAAGATAAACAATAGAAATGATAACAACTTAGACTTAGCATTAAAAATTACCTTCCTCAAGCTTGGCCAATGCTTCTGTGTCCTCTTCAACACTGATATAGTTGTTTCCACGAAGCCAATCATTTGTACAAACGAGCTGCTCAACCATTGTTGGTGTGAGTGATGTCCTAAAATCATCAAGTGTTCTTCCACCTGAACTGAAGGCTGACTCAGAGGCTACTGTTGAGATAGGAATTGCCAGAAGATCACAGGCCATACGAGACATTATGAGAAATCTAGTAGCATTATTCTTCCACCATTTCATAATGTCAAAACTTTTACTAAGCTCCTCATTATCTTCTGAAAGGTACTTGTCTAGTTTATACTTCACAGTGGTATTGGCACTCCCCTTATTGCTCATCTCACAGTAATTATGGAGCTCATCAATCCAGAACAAAATTCTGGCGTTTCTTGAGTTTCAACAGGCACCTTGTCACTTGGAGATGGAGCATACAGTTCTCTGTACTCCTCAAACAAAGCACGAAAATAAGTGTTGACCGTTGCCCACAGTTTCTGACCTATTTCATCACCAAACATTACCATAGTTGCCATCTTGACATAGTTAGAAAGTTTGAACCGAGGATCAATACCAACACGTAAAAAAATAACAATGTTAAGCAATTGATCCCCCTGTCTTTCTCTCCTCTCTTCTCTATCCCTCGGCCTTTCTCCATACTTCTCTCCCCAATATTTGTAATACTTCACTAACATTTTCCGCCCATTTCCTTACATAATGTATCTTCATTGTGACACCATTGTCTCAGCAGAACCAAAACATCAGCAATCTCATGAAAGTATATGTGAGATGTTGGGCGACTTGTGGCAGAGACACGGAGGGTTAGCTCATAGAAGTATTTAAGAAATTGAGCCATTTTCCTTGCCTTTTCCCAATCTGATTTGATTGGAACTCCTGGTGCTTTCTCACTCTCTAACTCTAGACTATAGTATGGGTCTTCATCACTATACCTTTCAAAGGCCTTTTCATACTCTTGTGCAGTTTGTAGCATCAGGTAAGTTGAGTTCCACCTAGTGCAGACGTCTAGGTTAAAAAATGCTTTGGTCTGAACCTTTGCTAACTCGGCATATTTCTTGAACTTTACCAACCTAGATGGTCCACTCCTAACATGCTTAACAGCAGCAGTCCCGAACACGAGCGATTGATCTATCAAATTCTTTCAAATTTCCATCACCTACTATCAGTTGATAATATGTGCAAAACACCTCATATGAAGGTACTCTCCTTCAAAGAATGCACCTTTTGATTCATTCAGACCCTCTGCATGTACTTAATTGTAGTGTTGTTTGCACTAGCATTGTCTACTACTATTGTAAAAACATTCTCAATTCCTCAGTCAGCCAAGCAATTCTCTAAATATTTTTCAATGTCCTCCCCCCTTTGGCCCTTAGCCAAGAAAAAACCAATAATTTTTTTGTGCAAATTCCACTCATTGTCAATAAAATGTGTTTGAACACATGTAAATTATGGACTGTTCTTAGCCGTCCATGTGTCTGTTGTCAGGCTAACTCTTTCACAGTTGTCTTTCAAAAATTTCCTAAGTTTTTCTCTCTCATCATCAAACACTTTCACACGGGCTCTAGTGATTGTTCTTCTAGATGGCAAAACAAAACATGGGCATGCTTTTGACATAAACTTTCTAAGGCCAGAATGTTCAGATAACACAAAAGGTTGCTCATCTTCTATTATCATCTCAGCAAAACT